AGTTCAAAGAAACGTGGCGAAGGAAGCGGAACAGAGAATACGGTTGCAGTTAAAGGACGAAGAGGACAATTGAACTATAGAAACATGTATAGTTGCGTTCATATTGTTATTGTTGCAGTAAGGGTAAAAATTGACAATTTCAATTTTTAGGGGAGTGTGAGTCAAATGGACAAGCCTGTGCCACACCCCCAACTAAAGAAATTAGGTTACTAGGGAAACGAGAGAAAATGTGAGCGAGGAAGCGAGTATTTTGCAACGATCATTTGTCAGAAAATTTTATGTTTTATTAAACTTTTACTTTACATTTCTTTGTGGTAAGTGTGCATTAACTTCTCCAGCACAATGCGCTATATTAGTTGTCCCAAATGAACAATAATACTCACCACAATTTCATGTAAAATACCAGCTTGCATAAAAACATGTTATTTATAGAGAATGGCCTAAAAATTTTGCAGATATGAATGAAATCGAAAACACAAGTACCATATGGAATTTTGACACTAAAATGTCTATATTAACACTGACCCAAACATAGCCAAGACAACGATTATATCTATCATAAACATCCGGTTTGTCTTCGACAAAATTCGTGTTTATGCCTTTCACACTTTGTTTCACGGTTGACAGTTAAAAGCGAAATACATCGCAAAAATATATTGTAAAACAGCGAAATACATCTTTGCAAAATGAAAAAAAAACTTTTTAGCGCGAGCTTGTACTCGTGCATGGGCATAACGCACTGAGCTTTACTATATTACTGGAGGAGGTGCTCCTATCCCTCGTCAGTCAAAAAAGTGTCGCCAAAAACATGGCGGATTTTCACGTTTGCTGACGCCAGAATGACGCCACTGGTCCCAAATCCTGGTTATAGATTCATGTCTCACTATTCATGAAAGCTAACCCTAATCCTCACCCTAACCCTACCCCTACCCGCTAACCCTAACTCATACAGCGAGACATGAATCTATATCCCAAATCCTCGTGGTAATTACTACTGAGCAAGGCTCATTTTGAGCCCGTCACAATTTTCACATCCCCTGATTTTCGAAAAAATATTTCAGCTTTTGTTTTGGGGTTGCCTCGGTGTTCTGCCTTCTCTTCGACATTTTAACATTTGTTTCGAGATGCAAAAGAGGCAAGAATCATCCAGGGCCGTAGCTAACATGTATAGTTG